GGAGAAAGATGAGGCTTTCTGCTCCCGTAAAGATTTACAGCCTCAGAAACCCTGCACTAGGTTGCTATGAGTTGGAATCGACTCCACGGCACATAACAACAACAACAAGTGATACAACAGAAAACAGCCTAGGATACCTTATAGGACAGTTCTGCTCGGTCACACGGGGGCGCTGTGAGTCGATGCTATATAAGAATACTTACAAATATATCAGAAGTGTGAAGTATGAGAGAATATTCCAATATAGAGTGTCACAGTACATGACCATGTGTTGTTGTTAAGTGCCACCGAGTCAATTCTGACCCATAGCGACCCTGGTGTAGGGTTTCATTAGGAGACCCTAAAGGGCAGTTCTACTCTTGTCACACACAGGATGGCTGAATTACAATCGACTCAGTGGCATCCAAAAACACCAAGACTGCAGGTATGAAAAACCCACTCAACTGGCTGACGTGGTATTTGCTGCCTCTTGAAGGTGTCCAGGTGCTGTGGTGGTTAATGTGCTGGGCAGCTAACTGAAAGGCTGACCGGTGGAGTCCAGCAGCTGCTCTGTGGTAGAAAGATGTGGCGGTCTTCTTCCATTAAGATTATAAAGCCTTGGGAACCTGGTGGGGACAGTTCAGATCTATCGTACAGGGTTGCTGAGTTGGAATTGCCATCAGTTTGGGATTTTTGTTGTTGTTGTTGTTGTATTGCCTGTTGTCACCAAGTTTCAGGGGCTCAGACTGAGTTTGTTACTTTCTTGGAACTAAGGGTCCTTCTGCAGGACAATTAACACCCAGATGACTGGCACTGCGCTGTACCCATTTCACCGAGCAGGAAGCTGGAGTCCTGGGCACTTAGATTCCATTTCACAGATTCCACAAAGCCAGTCGTCTTTCTTGCAGCCTTCCTGAGTGATTTAGAAAAGAAACAAGAAAAGGGTGTATGATTCAAAATCTGCTGAGGGATAAAACGGTGCCCAGAAAGAAGACCCAGGAGCAATTGCATCCTCTGGACCCAATGTCCCTGCACTGAAAAACTCCTCAAGCCAGGGGAAGAATGATGCCAAGACACGCGGAGATGTCCAAGGGATGCTGGACCCACAGATGGAGAAAATGACCTTTCTCTAGCGCTGACCCAGAGAGAAAGCCGTCCTTTATAGTTTTTGAATTCAGACTTCTAGCCTCCTCAACAGCAAAAGAACAAATTTCTGTTTGTTAAAAAAAATAAAAGAAAAGAATGGATTCAATGCTGAGCTTTGAAGAGCGTTTGATCTATAGGTGAAGGGTACTAGGAAGGATTATGAGGAGATCTGAGAAGGTTCGTTTGAACTCGAGATATGGATGTCTTCAGGGACCCCAACAAGCCACTTGGGTAGAATCGAAGCTGGACTTAAAGTGATGCCACAATATCTTGTCACCATCTTAGAAGTGACACTTTTGGCCACACCTTTATTCACAAATTCTCAGATTGGCTTTGTTGTTGTTGTTGTTAGATGCCATACTGATTCATAGTGATCTTATGCACAACAGAACAAAACACTGCTCACTCCTGGGCCAACCTCACTACTGTTGCCACACTTGAGCCCATTGATGCTGCCATTTTGCCAATCCATCTTGTTGGGGGTCTTCCTCTTTTTCTCTGACCCTCCACCTTACCAAACATGATATCCTTCTCCAGCGACTGGTCCCTCCTGACAATATGTCTGAAGTATGAGAGACGAAGTCTGGCCATTGTGGCCTCCAAGGAGCACTCTGGCTGCACTTCTTCCAAAACGGATCTATTGGTTCTTTTGGCAACCCATGGCACTTTCAGCATTCTCCTCCAACATCACAATTCAAAGGCATCAATTCTTCTACAGTCTTCCTTATTCATTGCCCAACTTTCACACGCATATGAGGTTATTGAAAATACCATGGCTTGGGTCAGGCGCACCTTAGTCCTCAAGCTGACGTCTTTGCTCTTTAACACTTTAAAGAGGTTTTGTGCTGCAGATTTGCCTAATGCAATATGTCTAGATGCTGGAAAGGGCAGGAGGAGGTTCTCCTTGGAGCCTCCGGAAGGAACCAGCCCATTTAGACTTGTGACTTTCAGAACCGTCAGACAATGAATCTGTTGCTTTAAGCCTCTTGTTGGTACTGATTTGTTGCAGCAGCAAGAAGGAACACATAACATTGCACTTAATGTAATCAGCCAGTCACAGAGGGACAGACGCCTTTATTAGGCGAACACTGCTGTAAAAGACAGGAAAAGATGTTCGATCCATAATAAACAATCTGAAGTGGCTACTAGGGGTGGGAGGGAAGGGAGAGTGATTCTCTGGGTAGGGTGTAAGCACGTGCTAATTTGGGTGATGGGGAAGGCAGTTAAAAAGAAAAGGAAGGAACTTTTTTTTTTTTTTTAAAGGAAATGTCTTTCTTTTTTTTTTTCAAGTACTGGAAGGGAAATGTACTAGAAGGGAGTCCTCGTGTGGCACTGTGGGTTAATGCGCCAGACTGCAAAGCCATTTGAACTGCAAGGTCGGTTGTTCAAGCTCACCAGTCGCTATGGGTCAGAACCGACTTGACAGCACTTAACAATAACAGAAGGGAAACAACCTACATTTATTTTCTCATTAGACAAAACATGGGAAACTTTCTGGCAAATGAAAAAGGAAAAGGAAGGAAGTAGGGAAAGAAAAGGAGAGAGAGAAAAAAAAGAGATTTGGAGACAGACAGTGGAGACAATTGTGCAGTGTGTGGTCAGTGTGGCTGGACTGGACACGTGAAAATGGTTGAAATGGCAAAGAACGGTAATAATAATAAAAAGGAACGCATACCTGGGGTGGTGTTTTTTTTCTTTTTAGCAATGGACCTCATGCACCAGCTGAACCTGGGTTTGTGTTCAGTCCATCTCTATCCTTCCAGTTGGGTCCATTGGTGCTGAAAGCTGCCACAGGGACACACATCAGACCGTAAGAAGTTCCCTCAGGTACTGACCCTCTGTTTTGCATCTAGATTGCTGTCCTCGTGCCTCTGAGCCATGGAGCCCACCGTGGGCGACTTCCAACTCGTGCCAGATGCAACCAAGAAGTCCCTGACCCTAACCACATGCTGTCGAGTCACGGTCACCGCGGCGGTAGCCACAAGCATCATCCTTTCCCTGGGCGTCCTCCTGGGTAAGTGTCCTCTCCAGGGTGACCGGATGGAAACGTCCCCAAGGGTCTCAACGGGGCCCGCATGGCTTTCCCAGAATCAAAGGGCTGGACCAGATGGAGGTGCGTGGGCCAGATGGTGTGCTTGACACACCTGAGCTCTTGGGAACATATCCACTGGGTGGGTGGTGTCGCGTGAGTTTCCTGGGACCACCTTATAAAGCACCACAGGCTGAGGGCCTTAAAGCAGAAAGATGTTCTCTCAACATCCAGGTGTTCTGAGTGCAGGGCATCGGCAGGGCCCTTCCGTGTGGCTTCTGGTGGCTCCAGGCAACCCTCCATCCTCTAGCCTCTGCTCTCCCTCTTTTCCTCTTACAAGGATATCAGTCGTATTGAACTTGGGACCCACCCTATTCCAGCCTGACCTCAGGCTGACAAATTAGATCAGCAAACATCCTATTTTTAAAGAGGGGCATGTGCGTGGATACTGGGGGTTAGGACGAGGACTTCAATATATCCCTTTTTGTGGGGAACACAATTCAATTCATAACAGTGTCCTTCCCTAAACAAACCTAAATCTACTAGCATTCAGTGAATTCTAACTCACAGCAATCCTACAGGGCAGGAGAGAGTGGTCCCACAGGGTTTCCAAGGCTGTATAGCTTTACAGAAGCAGAATGCCACATCACTGTTCCACGGTGAGGCTGGTGGGTTAGAACCACCAACCTTCTGGTTAACAGCCCAACGCTTAATCCACGGTGCAACCAGGGTTCCCTTCACTTCTCCCAGCATCCTCGCACCTCTTAGCGCCTTCCAGTACCAACTCCAAGTTCACACCAGGAGTGACGGCACTTCTCATCCAAGTGGTGGTTGTTAAGTGCTCTGTAGTCATTTCTGACTCGTTTCTGTTGTTAGGTGCCATCGAGTCAGTACCGACTCATAGCGACCCTGTGCACAACAGAACGAAACACTGCTTGATCCTGGGCCAACCTCACAATCATTGCTAAACTTGAGTCCATTGATGCTGCCACTGTGCCTATCCATCTCA